ACAAGGGATCAGCGCTCAGTTGGAGTTTGGCGAGTGCCTGGCACAACAGGGGCTCTGGGGTCAGCTGGAGTTTGGGCAGTGCCTGGCACAATAGGGGCCCTGAGCTCGGCAGAGGTCTGAGTCGCTGCTATAACACAAACCATATTATTATTAAACAGGAACTCTTTGCAACGCTGAAAGCCGCTTGCGAGGTTTATCGTGTCTTTCAGCGCGGCTGTGTCCTGGCTGGGTTTATCTGCTTTTATAATCAATAATAATTATTCTGTCCACAGGGGATCTTTCACAGCCTTGGTTTGTAACAAAGCTGCTAATGCCTCAACAAACCAAGCATTTAGGGCCCCATCCAGCAGGGTGCTGAGTGCTCTCTAGTCCCACCAGCCTTAGTGCAAGCCAAGGATGCTCCAGCCCTTTGAGTTATGCAGTGAATAATGTTTAGGGGCCTGGTGAAGCGATAAATGAAAGGTTTATTAATCTTAAACTCTGATATTCAGACTTTGTAATGAAATGACTTCCGGGGTCTCTTGTGGTTCACTTGAGTTTAAACCTGACAGCAGTTAGGCAGCTGGTGAGCCAAGGTCATTGCCCAGCTCCATTTCCATGTATTGGTTTTGATGGTCCAGGAGGGAATTTCTGGTCAGGGAAAAGAGCTTGCAACAAGCCCAGCCTATCCCAGTGGTCAGGGCACTCATCTGGGTTACGGGAGGCTTACATGCAAGTCCCTGCTCCGCCTGATGTGGGCCTCAACCTGGCTCTCACACATCCCAGGTGTCATGCCCTGACCACTGCATTGTAATCAGTCTCTCTCTCTTTCTCCTGGCGAAGCTGTTCCATGTTGTAGAATAATTAAACATTCATTGGGCCAGAGAGAGATTCTCTCTGCTGGTGGTTAGGGATGGGTGGGATGTGGCAGACCCAGGTTTAAGTCCCCATTGTCTAGATACACAGGACGAGAAGGGTCATGCAGCCCATCACGGTCTGAAACTTGTCAAGCTCCATCTTCAAGCTAGCTGGGATGTTTGCCTCCCACTGCTCCGACTGGGACTGGGACGTTGCTCCAGAACTTCCCTTCTGTGACAGGGAGAAACCTTCTTCTCATTGCCAGTTTCAATTGATTCTTGTCCAGTTTATCCCCATTTGTTCCTGTGCCAACACTGTCCTTTAGCTTCAATAGCTCTTCCTCCCTCCCTGGGGTCAACCCCCCTTGTGTATGTAGAGAGAGCAACCAGATGCCCTCTCAGCCTTTGTTTGACCAGGCTAAACAAGCCCAACTCTTTCAGTCATCTCTAGTAAGATCGCCTCTCCATTCCCCTGATCAGCCTAGGAGCCCTCCTCTGCACCCGGGCCAGTTTGAATTCTTCTACCTTGGATGTGGGTGACCAGAACTGTACAGAGTATCCAGATGAGGTCTTTCCAGTACCTTGTCCCGTGGCATTAATACTTCCCTAACTCAACTGGAAATCCCACACCCGATATATTCTAGGATCACATTTGTCTTTTTCTTGGCCCCATCACATTGGTGGCTCATCCTGCGATCAGGGAACACCCAAGTCTGCTCCTAAGTTGTTTCCAACTGATGAGCCCTCAGTTCGTAGCAGAAATTCTTGTTGTTAGTTCCTAAGTCCTTGTACTTTGCCCTATTAGTTCTACTTGAAAATATGGCCCTAAGTGCCTAGGGGCTTTGGAATATGCCAGTAGGCTCCTAGCTTCATCTTTTGGCACCTAAATCCCTTTGGAAATCTACCCCAAATCCCTTTAGAAAATAGGATTTAGGCTCCAAAGTCCCCTTAAATGGCTTTTGAAAATTTTGTCCCTTGTCTCCACTAGAAAATGAAGTGATGTTAGAACCCAGACTTGGGGGAGGCTCATGTTAGCTAACATGCTGTTAAATGCTACTTAGCTGTCAGTATTTGAAGGGGCAAGTGGAGTGTCACCTCATGCGGATATATGTGGTTAACCCTCTAGCCTCAGTGGGGTTTAACCAGAACTGGCTGAGGCTCTGTCTTCACTGCAGAGTTAACTTGAGTTAGTCTAGCTCAAGTGAGAGTGTCTACACACTGTGAAAAACCACTTGAATAGCCATGGCCACATGGGCACTGCACTCACTCGGACTTCTGGGAGTGTATTCCACGATTCTTAGCACCGTAGACAGCTGAGCCACTCTATGAATTCTCTCCCATTGAACGGGGGAAGATTGTGTCTGTCCTTTCTGGGCACCCAGGGGATTGTGGGAAGGCATTGGAGGACTAGCAACACTCGAGTAGTGCTAGCCTGCATCCCCACTACAGAGCACTCATATTAGCAGCTGACATGTTCTGTTCACTTGAGTTTTAGCCTATGTTCCTCTGGGGCCAGCCAACCTGAGTTCAAAGCACCACCCCACTCAAGTGAAGGGGGTGTTGTGTGTAGACAGGAACTGAGTTATGGACAATACTCCTGTTAACTTTGCAATTGACTGTATAGATAGCTGTGTTTAATGTTGTGTTAGTTAACATGACTCCTCAGGGTCAGCTTCTAACATGACCTAATATTCTGGTGAAGGGAAACTCTTACTTCGTCTTCCACAGGATTTTAACATGGGTTAGCATGACAGGGGTTAAAAAATACATCCTTTGTCTGAGGCCCTGTCTTCACTAGGACAAAAGATGTGTTCTTATCTCATGTTCGCCAACGCCCTAGTGGAGACATGGCAAGGTGTAGCTTTAACATGAGTTAGCAGGTGGAGGTGAATACTCCCAAGAGGGAATATCTACACTGCAGTCCTGGGCTGTGACTGCAGCACACATAGGCCCATCTGAGCTACCTTTGATCTAGCTAGCGCAGGTACAAATAGTGGAGTTAGGGCAGCACAGGCTGGGCAAAAGTCTGTTCTTCTGCAGCTTCTTTGCTATTGGGACCTGAGCTAGGTGGAGTCCAGCGAGCTTGGGTCTGTCTAGGAGTGCTGCCACCGGAACCCACTGGTGAGCGGGTGTCGGCCCCCCGCTCTGCTGATGCACAGCGGAGGAGAGTGTTACAAAGGCCTGCGCTGGTTTATGGGCTCTTTAGCACAAGCTGTAGTCATTTATGCTTTGAGCTCTGGAAGTCCCTGGTTCAATCCCCGGTATGTCAGCCCAGCGTCGTGTCCTTGTGGGCATTAACTCCACATGTGAACGACTTACCTTCGCTCACCCGAGTTATGAACATACGACTTGTCCTCGTGAAGATGCCCCTATTGTCCAGAGAAGAAGAGTGAGCCCTTGTGCCCGTTTTAATGGCTCACCCCATTAGTGAGATTAGAAGCTTAGCCAGCCTGCAAGAGGCAGCTTCTATGATATTTCCACTCACTGCAGGGCCAAAGGCTAGCTGAGCAGGGAAAGTGTGTAAATGGTGTTTCTCTCCGCTCCAGCCAGCTTTTCCCAGCTCAAAGCCATGCACACAGGGGGCTGGAGAACAAGAATTTCAGCAGCCAAAGATTTCAAACTTTAGATGTTTGGTTTTGTTCTGCATTGGAATGAAAATGAGACTTTTTGAAAAAGCATGAGAGCCCCCAGCTTAGCCAGCTAGCCCCAGTGGCCAGGACACTGCCCTAGGGCTCAGGAGACCCAGGGTCACGTCCCTGCTTTGTCTGATTCAGAGAAGGAATGGGAACCTGGGTCTCTCTGTATTTTCTAAACTACCTGGTTTGGTGAAGAATTCCCAAGGAGCTCTCCAGAGAAGCATTGGGTCCATGTGCAGTTACACAACTCCCCTCCCCTAATGCAAAGCTTGTATCCAGATCTCTTTCACACACCAGGTCCAAGCTGCCTTTAGCTGGTAAAGCGGCAGGAATCCAAAGCGATAAATGTGGCTGCTGCATCTCCGGGTGTGTTACCCCGGTGGGCAAGGAACCTTTAGGACTTAGCTGAGCTCCAGCTTAGGCTGTGGGGATGGACCCAGGGATCCTGCAGAAGCCACGCACTACATCCTCACTTTCCCACTACTCAGGGGCTCTCCAGACACAATCAGATGGACCTTGTTACTGTGGCCATAAGTTATATCTGCCTTTCAATTCTCAAGCCTGCCAACTGCCTGGAGGCTAAATTAGGGAGGCAGTGTAGCCTAGTGGAGTGAGCACTGAACTGGGATATAGATGAGTTGGGTTCTGGTCGTAGCCCTGCTGGCGACCATGTGTAAATTACAGCCCCTTTGTGCCTCAGTTTCCCCATCTGTAAAATGGGGGTAATGATCCTGCCTTCCTTTGGAAAGCACTCTGAGTTCTGCTGCTGGAAAGCATGAGCTAAGAGTAGGGACTATTATTATTATTGAATCCCAGGGTAGGCACCACACTTAGGCTAGTTCCTGTCAGTGTGAGGAGTTGCTCCATTACCTTGAGCAGTTGGGATCCAAAGACTGCCAGGCACTCCAGGGCACTAGGCACCACCCGTAATCCCAGCCATGCCCCTTGCTGCTGTGTCAGCAGATGGCAGAGTTAAGATGCACGGGGAAGTTCGCACCTCTGATAGCTGTTTCAGGCTGTCTGCAAACTGAGGCAGGTGACATTGACACTCAGGTCATGTTTTCAAGCTTTTTCTTTGATCTCTCTCCCTCTTGCTCCCCATAGACACCCTTCTGTCTTTCACTAAATGAAAACTGTGATTCTAACTCATCCCGAGACTCCAGCAGCTGCTCAAAAGCCACAAGTGGAAACAAGACGTCCTCCCTTCCTGCCCCCCTCTTTAATCCGCTAGACCCACTCCCCTCCCAGAGCTGGGAATAGGACCCAGGAGTCCTGACCCTCCCTGCCCCCCGTCTCTGGTGAGCATGGAGGAGTATCCCCCATGTTGTCTTCTGGATCCCAGGACTTCCCTGGGACATAACCCTTTTTGGTGATTTTCCACTGCATTTCATGCAGTCTCCCGAGTGTTCTCCATTCATGCTGATAGGAGCGATACCATCCCCATGGCTTTGCTGCAGGCAGCTAATGTGTGTGACCAGCTTTAGCCAGGCTCCAAATGTGCCTGCTCCAATCTGTGTGTTAAACTTACCTTCCTGCTACGCCACTCCCTCCTCTCTGATCAACTTGACCTTTAGACTCCTACTTCCATCGATGAGGCTGCAGCTTTGCAAACTCCAAGGGACTTTTTATGTCCACAGTGGGCATCAGTTCAGCCCGACCTCTTTTATCCTTCTTCCCAACCCAGCACACCCTTCTGACAGTGATATATAATCAGGCTAGCCCTCCCCAGCAACCATGCACGTTTCAGGGCTGCCAGACTTCAATTCAGCTCGGCTCTTTGTAAATCCATCCTTTTCAGCGTCAGGTTCCAGTTTGCAGTCTGAAGGAATTTTTATTTCCTTGCAGGTTGTCCCAAGAGCCTCCCTTTTTTTGGCAATCTCTCCCCCGCCCCGAGACTTGGTGTCTGATTCCTCCTGCTTTCTTCCCAAAAGTTACTTAAAACAGGATAATAAACCCAATCCTTTCTCAAAGCTCCCCGGCAGTGGGGTGTTCTTGCATGACCAGGCTGAGGGATTTGTATTCACACCCACTCTGTGGAGGCAGAGTTGTTGTGTTACTCAACCATGGAGGTAGCTCCCCTCCAATCCGCTTGACATACGCTGCTGAGTTGTCACGGCTGACTTCGAAGGGGGAGCGGGCTCTGCTGCTTTTTCTTTATGAGGGGATAGCTTTTCAAAAAAGAAAAGGAAGGGAAAAATCCATTCCCACCACAGGTTGGACGTGAAATCAGCCCTTGCAGTGAGGAATCCAGGGTATTATCCCTCCGGGTTGCAACTTCTCCCCTGCAAAAATGATTGGACAAAGCTATTAGGTAAAGGGTATTTGCAAAGGAGGAAATAGCAGAGTTGCTGGCCTAGTAATTAACAGCCATTGCACACACAGAGCTCAATCTGACACTGCCAGTAGATCAGAGGAACGCACACACAGAGGTTGACACACACATTCACACATGTACACAGATTTCCACTGAGAAGGACACGCACACAGATCGACATAAACAGACTCATGTAGAGATTGACACACAGAGACTCCCTAACACACATATGTGCACAGAGACTGAGACACACACAGAAACACAGGCAGAGAGAGACTCTCACAGGGACACACAGACCTGACACACACACACACAAGTGACACACACACAGAGAAGCACATATACATACATATGATCTATCTTTCTGTCTCTCTCTCACACTCTCTCTCTCTCTCAGACACAGACACACACACACAGTCTTTCACTCAGACACAAACACATACAGAGTCTGTATTTCGGTGTATCAGAGTTGGGAGAAATAATTGTGCCATCCTTCATTGCCAAACCTATATTCATACCAATGAGGCTGCAGACAAACTAGAGCAAGCAGGTGACGAGTTCTAGATACTCAGAACTTTGTGAAAACGAGAAGCCCCTTAGCTCAATCTCTGGATTTGGCTCAATGACCCACATTTTTCAAAAATGACTTAGTGATTTGGGGTGCCTGACCTGAGACTCCCAGGGTTTCTCAGAGGGGACTTTCTGGACACCAGGTGCCTGCATTTCAGAACCCCCTCTAAGAACAAAACATCCCCAAATCATGAGTTTCTTTGGAAAATGTAGACTCTTGTGGATGGACTTTTTAAATAATAATATAGCGCTTTCCATCAGTAGGCCTCAAAGCACTTTACAAAGGAGGTCAATATCATTAGTTCCATTTCATAAATAGGGAAACCGAGGCACAGAGTGGGGCAGTGACTTACCCAAGGTCATACAGCAGGCCAGTGGCCAAGCAGGCAATAGATCAGGTTGCCCGAGTGCCAATCCAATGCTTTATTCACTAGGCCACAGAAAGTGGGGTCAAATGCGTAGACTTAGGCTTCTGAAATCGCATTTTCAAAAGCGACGAAGACATTTAGGAGCTGAAGTCCCATTTATTTTAAATGAGATTTAGGCTCCTAAGGCCCAGATCCTCAAAGGTATTTAGGCTCCTAACTCACATTGAAACTAGGCACCTAAATACCATTGAAGGTCTGGGCCTAAATGACTTTTGAAAAGGAGACTTAGGCTCCTAAATCACATAGGCACATATGAAAATTGTGCTCTAAGTTTCTAAGTCACTTTGGAAAATGAGATGTTCCCCTAAAAGCCTATGAGACTTCTGAAATTGGGACTTGGGCACTTTTGAAAATGTCACCCATTAAGCACCATCCCACAATTAATTTCTAATTCCCCACTCCTTTGAAAATCTGTTGTTATGGTAAGGCTTGGAAGCACCGACCAAAATGGATTTTTGAACTCATTTGAAATTTCAAAATAATTGTCAATTCAAGATGGGTCTGTTTTCCATCCTCTCACCTTCCATCATCTGCAAAATGTTTTCAGCTGAAATTTTGATCACAAATATCCATCAGCATTTTATTATTTACCAAAAATTCCAGAAAGCGGCTTCTGATAGAAAATATTCTGTAGAACTTTTCACCAAAGAAGAAAAGATTTTTCTAATGTTGATGATTTTCTGTGAAAGTTAAAAAAAAAAAAAGAAAAAGTAAAAGAAAAAGCTTTTGGCTGGGGGAAAAAACGTAGTTCATAAATTTCATCCGATTCTAAAACTGATGAACTTTGGCAAAAACTGCCTTTGGAGAAGCCAAAATCTCTGAGCCTCTGTAAAGCAGAGGAATAAAAACTAAGAAGATGATCAGAGATTAAATTTCAGAATGAAATCAGAATAACATGATCTGTGTTCAATCAAGGTTGTATACACAGGGGGCATTGCCTTGGTCAGTAGAGACTTCTGTGTCTTTGAAACGTTCAAGGGGGGTGGGGATTTCGTTCAGTCACACAGACATGGGTTGGTATTGGCATAATGAAAAAATGCTCCCATCCCGCCTGATGTTTTTGAATTCTGCTCGGAGATGAGCCACATGGCTCTCCCGAGAAAGAAAAGAACAGAAGGGGGAAAAGCACTGAGTGAAGGCATGACTGGAATAAATGACTTCAAGATGGAGCTGCGGGGGGAAAAGAAAAAGAAAAGCCGTCTGGTGGCTTTTTAAACCATTTCTGCTAGCGTGGGGTGTTGACAAATTGGCTTAAAGTTTCAAGGCTGCGTGGTATGGTAAGAATCCTTTGCCTGGCATTATCTGTGCTGCCGGAACTTGTGTTATGGAAATCGGGAGCCTGCAGCGTGGATTTCTCCAATTAATTTCCAGCAAATGGGATTTTCACAGCCCATCTCTGGACCCCTTTGCTCTAACTTTCCATTCCGCCGTTCCTCTCTTTTCAAGCAAAACCACATGGGCTCATGGTGCAAAGAAATGGAGTTTGTGCTCCAACCCTCCCCCTTAGAATCAGACCCCCAGAGACCAGATTTTCCAGGGCTCAGCACCACAAGTGAGGACAGAATTTTCTCCCTCAAAAGCTCAGTTCCCATCCTGCTGAAAAGCCAAACCTGAGTATCCCGCTGAGTGTGGGCTGGAGAAATCTTGTCCAAATTATGGGGCTGGGAGGGTCCCAGAGCTCAGGTTCCGGCCCAAGCCCAGAAATCTTCACAGCAATGAAACAGCCCCTCAGCCCGAGCCCTGTGAGCCTGAGTTGGCTGGCACAGGCCAGCCACGGGGTTTTCTTTGCTGTGTAGACCCACCCAAAGCCATCCACACTCTCAACAGCCTGATCTTCCTTGCAAGCCTGTCGCTTCTAGTAATCTGGAACCCTGAGTGCTGCAGCTCTTTTAGCCCTGCTACCTTATGAGAGCAGCAATTCACCCTTGCGAAGAAAACCTGTGAATCTTCCTTCAACCCCTCTACTTCCTGCAATTTGCTGGGCTGGTGAAAACAACCCACCTTCATTAGTGTCACTGAGGCCAGATCCCCTGTTGTTGTGAATGGGCGTTTGCTTCATTAGAGCCATTGGGGCCAGATCCCCAGCTGATGCAAATAGGCCATAGCTCCACTGGAGCCAATGGGTTCTGATCCCCAGCTAGTGTAAATCAGCATTGCTCCATTGAATTAAAGGGGGTTACACCGGGAACAGCTGGTCATTAGAGTCCAGCTGGTGTCACACCAATAACGTCTGGCTGATGCACTGCAGGGTGCAGTACCACTTGCTGCCACTGGGGGTGACTTTTGGTGGGGCAGATCCACTCCACGGGTGGGACAAAGGGAGAAGATATAGCCCCCCTGAGAGCCCACGGCTCACTGCAGCCTCTACTCCCAATTCCCCCTCTCCCCTTCCCCCACCTGCGCAGTCCTGACACTTCCCGTTTCTGGGCACCAACGGAAGCTGCTTTACACCAGCTGGGAACGTGGCTCCACGCTGCAAGCCAAAGCTGGCACCACATAGGCCCGGTCAGCAGCAGCTTCAAAGCCCTCTCTTATTAATGAAGAATTCCCGGTTCATTTCAGCACTGAAAGAAACCTGTGTAATAAAAGGCGCTAAGGGGGTCTCAGTGGCGGGGCAGGGCCCCGCAGAAAGCACAGGGAGCATGGGGCGGCTCTGCCAGTAGAGCACAGGAAGCGCCCTGCCGTTCTCCCAGTGGGGTTATGGATGTAGATAATCTCCCTCCCCTCTTATTCTGCAAAACTCAGAGGTGAAGCTTAAATCCCCTTTGATGTTATTACAAGCGCTTTTTTCCCTTCAATTAATAGCAAGGAAAAGAAGTGCTGTGAGAGCTCCCCAGAGCCAGGTACGCTGGTAAATATTAACAGAGGCACCAGACTGGATCTGACCAATGGCCCAGCCAGCCCGGCATCCCATCCTCACACTTTCACCCCTGCTGATCACACCATTGGGCCCATCTAGCCTGGTATTCTGTTCCCACTCCCTGCCCCCAGATCAGACCAGTTGGCCCATTTAGTCCAGTATCCTGCCTCTCACCCACCCCTGCCCAGATCAGACCAATGGGCCCAGCTAGCCTGGTATCCCATCTCTCACCAGCTGCAAGAAAGCCCGTCTCTGCTGTTCTTGGTACGTACTGTGTGCATGGCGGTAGCATCCAGGAGACCCAGGCTGGAACTCTGTTGTGCTAGGTGCTGTACAGTCCCTGCCCCAAAGAGCTTACGTTTGAAGTAATCTGTGCCTCAAGGTGCTACTGAAATACTGCTAATAATGCACATGCCAGAATTGGGCTTTGATCTTGGTACTACCATCATACCAATAATAATGTGCTCACCATAATGACTACTCAGTCTGGACTGGGGCCTCTATCATAATATCAGTAATAATGCACACCCTAGAATGAGTCACTGATCTGGGCTGGGTCTCTAGTTGGTACTGTAATACTAATAACAACACACACGTCGTAATGATACCCTGATCTCAGTCAGGATGTGTAGGCACTGCCATAATGTGGACAGCATAATGATGCTACTGTAATACCAGTAAAAATGCACATGCTCTAATGATGCCCTGATCTCAGTCTGTAATACAGATAATAGGGATGAAGCGGCTAGTGCACATTCATGCTGCTGCCCCCTGCTGAATGGAATGAGAACCATATGTCATAGGCCCCAACCCGTTAAGAGCAGGGGGTGATTCTCTGTTTACTCTCCATGATTCTCTGCACCCTGAGTCTGAGTGAATGTGACTCTGTGACATTCTCCGCCTCTTGCTAGAAGCAAACCCCAGAAGCGACTAGTCAGACTGCATTAGCTGCAGCCGGCTCCGAACGTGAGACTGGCCATATTTAAAGCAAGGGGAAATATCAGAGGGTGGGGGAGACAGTTGTGAGCAAATTTGCAAAGGCATCTCACCAGCACCAGGGTCGATTGGGAATCTGCAGTGGCACATCCTACCCCAGGGTACCTGGGCTGT